ATTTTCTTGCATATTTTTTTTTACATTTTTATTAATATGGATTTTAATTTACAAATTTGTTTATCGAACTTTATCTGCAATACCGACATACTGCCGATATTGCAGTTGATATCGATAATACCATTATGATTAGTTCGATCGATAACTATGTAAACACTTCACGTCAACAATACAACAACAAACCAGCAAAGAAAACAGTGAAATTGATAGTGAGATTAATTACAAGAAATATTTATACAGTAGAGAACCAATTATCTGGGATGCTCGGGACCATCGCTATCCCGGATGTCTGAATTTCCCAGTTTTCTGGATCGACCAAAAAGTGTCATTAATCGATGTTTTATCGAACCCGAATTACAAGGAAATTACACAAAAATTTGTCAGAATCTGAGATTAAACTAAAAGCGCAAAATTTGGTGAAAATTTACTCATCCGATTTAGAGAAAAACTTTGTAGATGAATTTTTACTATTTTCAAATTTATATGAACATAAATCTGCACAAGAAATGTTGAAGGCTCAAATTAAAGATAAACTTGTGAATACTTTTCCTAACGTTCACATTGCATTAAGAATATATTTGTCGATTCTTGGATCAAATGCAGAAGGAGAAAGATCTTTCTCCAGATTAAAATTGATAAAAAATTATTTGCGTTCAACAATGAATCAAGATCGTTTGGCATCGCTCGCACTTATGTCTATTGAATACGACATTTTGCGTAGTTTGGAATTCGACAGCATAATACAAGATTTCGTTGAATCCAAAAATCGCAAAAAAGTAATATATTAGATCATAAGATTCTGCAAAATAATTTATTACCGAAAAATATTATATTTTTATTTGTATCTTCATAATTTTGTGCAAAATACACTTGTTGTTTTTAAAGCTAAATTATTTTTGTCAACAAATTTTTTTCTCCCAAGTTTTTCGTAGGCCCCTGAATTTCGTAGGCCCTATGCATGTGCCTAGTGTGCCTATAGGTTAATCCGGCATTGGAGGCAGTTATTAGAGACACCTCCATGTTTCATTAAACAATCAAACTGGCTCTCTTGGGTTCGCGTTTTACTATACCACTTTCCTCACTAACGATTCCGATAGCGTTTTGTTTTTTCCCCGTTTAACTATTTATTTACTATCCTTAGCGTATATACTTTTTTTCACTTCATTTTTGAAAAGGGTTCTAAAAAAATATATTAAGGTCATTACGAACGCTCTGTAATACAAAATCTTTATTACGATATGAGCCCGTGACAGGGCTGGATTACCCATTAGGCCATGGCCTGGGGCCCCCAATGATTAGGGGCCCCCTTAAAATGGATTTCTTGAAAATGAATTTAAAAAAATTAAGAAAAACAATGATTTCTGTAAAAAGGTAATAAATTTCAAATTTTTTCCAAATGTTATGATTATTTTTTAGTTCTAATTTAACAAAATAGACAAAATTTAACAAAATTTATTATTATTCATTTTATTTTAAATATGCTTTCTTAAATGAAAAGACATATAAATACATTTATATTTTAATAAATAAAAAATATACAAGAAAAAAATTTAATTAGGTCTTGAGACCTAAAGCAGATCTGCTTTAGGTTGTGGAAATAAATTGATTTTAACTAAAGCATAATTCATTTAAAAGAAATAAGTTAAGAGTTCGCGCAATTTTTTTTAATATGTATTGATTAAATGGACATTTTAGAACAATTTTAAGAGTTTTTTAGTTTCACCATGCGTATTACACAAATAATACTACTATATGCAATTCTTTTTAATGTAGTTAATCACTTTATACGTAATATGTTTCGAGGGTATGTTTCGTAATATGTTTCGAGGGTAATGGCAGAGATATTAGTAAAAAAATTCTAATTACTTTTATTAAACTTGCAAGTGCTCCAGAAAATAAATAAAAAATTTCTTTTGTAAAATAAATGCACTATAACTGAAAAACAATTCAACAGTATAATTTAGTTAAATTTTGTTAGTACAGATGTCACTACTATACTAAAACAGATAAAAATATTGTGTTCAATAGTTGCTCATTTTTGAAAAAGAAAAAAACTAAGCTATGTAAATTTCACCGATATCATGCTAGCTTAACTTTTCTCATTATAATAGAGCAAAGATTTCAGCTTAAATAGTATTTCTTCATTCAAATATCATACAATTTCAAAGAAAAATTCTTTGCGATCGATGATAAATTTTAAGCAAAATTTAAAATTTAGTGTACTTTGAAATTGATAGATGTCGTCACTATATTGATGGAGCACGTACGAAATGTTGTTATATATTTGTATGCTAAGTTTGGGAAAAAAATATTAGTGTTATAGTAAGAAAAATCATGGTTTTGATATAATTTATCTGAATAACAGCCTTTAAAATCAAAATTAGGCATAAACATAAATCTATAGGGAAAATACAAGAAGAAAATTAGCTAAAAAATAACATTGAAAAATTGGTGCCGTTTTTTCTATAAGAAAATCATCGTTTTCAGAAAGGGTAGAGGAAAATATTTCATAAAGAGAAGCTAAAAACTTTTCCTTCTACATAAAACTTTTCTTCTACATAGAAAAAACTTTTCTTCTACTTAAACTAGCTTTGAGTTTGAGAAACAATCAGCAGATGGCGGCACTAAAGCAGAATTTCCATAATTTTTTCTTGTTTTCTATTATTTAACTAAGAGATCTCGGACGTACCTTCAAAAACTATTATTTTAAGCGTTTTTTTTCATGAATGTCTACAAAATTATTTTTGCTTGAAGTACATATTTACTTAAGATTTTTTTTCTTTTTAATAAATATATCCTTGAACGAGTCGCATGGGATAAGCCTTAGAATATCTTCATGGCTTATTGGGTAATTATATTTTAGATTTACGATTGAAAGAGTAACGATTGTAAAAATAATCCCGCGAAACTGAAGCTGTCACTTTAGTAAAAACTTCATTCGCTTCTAAAATATACTCAAAACAAACTGGTATTGTCAAAAATATTGGTAATAACAGTAGACATGTTTCAAGCGTTGTAACGTTGCCAACGTAAATGGAAAAATAAAGGCAAGAAACAAAAAGAGAAAACTAAAACCACAGTTGTCGAGAGTTGTTGTTGTTGTTGTTAATTTACGTCGCACTAGAGCTGCACAATGGGCTATTATTTTAAGCGTTATTTTAAGTTGTCGAGAGAAAAAATGATGAAAAATGGAAAACCACAATGGCAAATGAGGGTAAAATTAATTACCACGTGATATGGGAGTGGGATATAGTAAGAACTTATGTCGTCAACAAGGGACGCAGCATTCATATGTATATAACAAGATTCCAGGGCATCAAGATAAGCTGAGACGAGAGGGTGAAAATAATTTTCACTATGTCGAAATGCCAGAGATTCCAATAATGTGCAGCAATTAATGATTTCTTGTATTCTTGATAAAGGACATATCTATCGTGTTCCTTTAATTAAATTTAGACTTGTGGAACAATTAATACTGATTTGAAATATTTTCGTTGGAAATAATTACATTTGCTTTAAAAAATTTTAATTTTATTTTTAAAAAAATAAATTTTTCCTTAAAGACATCATAGATTCATATATACAGTGAACTCTCGCTACAACGATATCCGATACAACAGTGACTCCCTCTATTACAATAACGTAATTAATGTCATCCATCTCTCAATAGTACGATATTCTCTAAAGCAATAAACCCCTGTAAAAAGTTTTTTTTCCAAGTTTCAACCTTATTTCTCCACTTATTATTGGTATTCAAATAATGTCAAAAAATCTTATTTTATAATATTTTGCCTTTTTTTTTTCCCTCGGTCTTTTCTGTTAAGAGAAGTATTACTGCTAATTGTGTATTTATCTTATTTCTTTTCACCACAGTGAATGGCTTTTGTATTCAGATTTCAATACCCTATCCTTGATGTACATGGGCCACCCCAAAACCTTCCATTCTTAGAACTGCCTCCCTTATCTCTTAAGAAGTCACAGAAGTCACAGATGAGTCTTAAGAAGTCACAGTAACATTCCTATCTGATTTCATATTTAACCATAATTGCCACTGGGAAAATTAAATTTTTATAAAATATATAAATAGATTTATAGTTAATAGATATATAACATTAAAATTTAAAGAAACCTTATTGTGCCACCGATATAATAATATATCTCTCTACAGCAATATATCTATCGTTGTAGCAAGGTTTCACTGCATATATATATATATATATATATATATATATATATATATATATAAAATATAATATATATATATATATATGTATATATATATAAATNGTCACATACCTGACACCTTTAACGTGAAAGAATCTTTTTCTTTTGCAAAAATGTGGTATAGAGTTCTTGAAAAATCTAAATAATAGTTGAGAAGATTTTCAGGTTCAATTTCTAAAATATCATCAAAAGAAATGTCTTGAAAAAAAAATTGCAAATGCGTTTTACCTTTTATCTTTATTTCCTTTTATTTATTTGGTGTGGACACAATGCAAATGAAAAAATAAGCAGTCGTTTTCAAACTTTTGTAAATGCTAGTACATTTCATATATATATATATATATATATATGCTTCTGAAGCTTGGACAATGGCAAAACTGGAGGAAAATTGTATCGCAATATTTGAGAGAAAGATTTTGCTGAGTATACTTGGTGTTGTAAATGAAAACAATAATTGGAGGACATTTAACTTTGACCTGTACAAGATTTATAAACAACCTGATATTATTAAATACATAAAAATAAATAGAATTGGATCACCCAAGTGATTCGAATGAGCGATGACAACACAATAAAAAAGATACTGCTTTTTAGACCTACTGGAAAAAGAAAGCGGGAAAGGCCACGGTTGAGATGGGCTAACTCAGTGGAGTCTGATTTTCTCGCAATTAATGAAAAGAATTGTAGATCGGTCGATCGGATCGATCGGCAGATAAATCGTATATGTATATATATATATATATGTATATTGTACTGGGAAAAAAAACACAGGAACAGCAAATCAAAAATTGTTTTATACAAAACTTAACAAAGTATATAGTACATTAATCAAATATATATATATATATATTTTTTTTTTGAACTACAAATTTCGGCACATTCTTTTACACAATTTACACATGATATATTTAGCATCACAACTCAGTTCCAAGCACAGCATCAAGTAAGCAGGCCTTGTAGAAAGGAGCAAAGTTTGTTGTTCTCTTTATCTCACTAAGTACCATTGGCCAGAACGCTTCTCCCCCACCGCCGCACACCTTTCTTGAAGTAGACATTATAGTCTTTAAATATTTTCTCATTGCTCTGCAAAAAGAGATAATATCATGTAGTAATCGTAGTATATTATTCAGCTATTGGTGACAGTCTATCCCTGAAGATGATGCGAAGACCTACTATCACAATTTCATTCTCAGAACAGAAAGTATGGTTCTTCCGTTTCGGTAGACTGAATAATTCCAATAAATAAATTTCATTTCAGAATGGACGGAACTATAATAGTTACAGAATATTCTTCTTCTTTATAGAATATTGTTGTTGTTGTTATTCAATTACGTCGTCTTAGAGCTGCACAATGGGCTATTGGCGACAGTCTGGGAAACATCCCTGAGGATGATCCGAAGACATGCCATCACAATTTTGATCCTCTGCAGAGGGGATGGCACCCCCGCTTCGGTAGCCCAACGATCTGCACGTGAAGTCAAGCACTTTACGGTAGAACAGTTTAACGAGACCGATACCACGCATCCTTGCTTACTTTGCAGACTGATTAAAGTGGTCACCCACCCGCTCACTGACAGTGATGCCAGTGATGTTAGACGTAAGTGATCGACAGGGAATCGTATCTACTATCACTGCGGGAAGAAGCAGTGTATTTGATATATATATCTTAAAGGTATTTCATAAATACTGCCCTTAATAAAAGCCCTATTAGAGTCGAAGGCAAAGTAAACACAATATATAAGCCAGGGAATAAAAATAAAAACTCCATTAGAGACTAATCGCAAAAAGAAATCAAGGTACAGACATCAAAGTATGGGGGGGGGGGCTGCCCCACCAGATTTGTGGAGGCTATATAGGCATTCTGGCTAATTACTGTTTGCCTAAGATAGGTACTCTTCCAGACATTCGTCTGGAGCTGTGGCGGTGACTATGGTAACGATTGGTAACTTTCTTATTTATTATTCTATGGTAACTTTCTTATTTTTCGTTTACTGCGCAGTTAACTTCGTCACATCGGACTACTAAATTGATCCGTGCTGAGGCCTTCCTTCTTCTAGGACAGGGGTGGCGAACCTTTATACACCAACGTGCCAATTTTTCTAAAAAATTGTTTAATGAGGTCATAGACGTGCCTTCAAATAATTTTGAAAATAATAATACTAAATACTATCAACTTAAAACACTTTATTTACATTGAAAAAAAAAACATTTTGCCATGTCTTAAAACAACTTAAAGTAACATCAGTGTGACTTCTGTTGTTGCAGATAAGATGACAAATAACTTATATTAAGTTATAAGATGTTAGTTTAAGCAGGACTGTTATTTTTCTTTTTTGCTAGTTATTTATTTTTAGCTTGTTTTTTTTTATAGTTATTGTTTTTTAAGCATTAATTGTTAATTTTTTTATTAATGTTTGTTTTTGTGAATTTTAATTTAATTGTTACATATGCTTCATAGTGTAATAACATTTGAGTAAATAACAATTCATGATGTATGAGTAATAACATTTGAGTAATAACAATTCATGATGTATGAGTAATAACATTTGAGTAATAACAATAACGGTGGCGTGCCCAAAATATTGTGTCTCGTGCCATAAATGGCACGCGTGCCATTGGTTCGCCATCCCTGTTCTAGGAGGTGTTGGGAAGAGTACCTATCTTAAACAGACAGTAGCGGGATTTTAACCTTTTTTCATTAAGGAAAAAGAAGATGAAATACATTCTAACTTACCCGCACATTATACTATTAGGAGTTGCATAATTTAGTTCCGTTTTAGCAAACATAAAACTTCCTAAATAATCAAATAATTCCAAAACAATGTCTCCTATGCTTTGAAATAACATTTTGGCATTCTCAGGTTTCAAAAAACATTGCAGAAAAGCCATTAAACTGCCTTTCGGATAAGTATCTTCATCTTCTTCTGAAAATAAAAAAATAGGAACCAAATGAAATATAATATGAGAAAATAATACAGGCAGAGAATATATAGTAGCACTAGCGGTTAATACTTGTATTAAGACAAAAAAGTAGTATGTTTAAAAATTGATTTCCCAAGAACTACAGTTAACAAAGAAGGTTGCTAAGAAGAAAAAATATAATGAATGTGATTTTAGCTTTAACAAATAAAATAATTGGTAAAAAATATATAATGCAAATTACATTTCAGTGCTGCCATCTATGAAAAAAACACTTCAGCAGTAATAATGATTGGAAAATTTAGGCAACAAAAGTTTTAACAGGTAGAGAAGTTAATAAAAACAATAAAAAAAAGCATTTAAATTATATAACGTCGTTCCCGAGTGGAAGGATTAAAACAGGTCTTAGGCCGGGATGGAGGGGTACAAAATTTATTTATTAATTATTAGACAGAGCGGTCATGAGAGTGTGTACGAAAAGTTCGTTCCTCGGTTATATGTTAGGGAAAATCTCGCAAAGTAAATCCGTAAAATGCTTCAATTTAGGGAAAGAGGGAAATCTTAGTAAATGTAATTGGTTTATCAAATAGGTTGAGCGTTTCCCACAGATAGCAAAGGGGAAAATGTCCTGCTTTTAATTAAATGCATGCTTGAGCCAAAAACAGATTCAAGAACAGGAAGTGGCTTTTAAAAGTGCGAGAAAGTATCTTGTTTAGAATAATTAATTAGGATAACATAAAAAAGATTAATATATATATAATATATATATATATAAATCATAATCATTGTGAATTAGATTACCAAGAGTAATCTTACCATCACCATCATCATAACAATCCTCATCATCACCACAGAAATCTTTCTGTTGTTGCGATCTGTTTGTTTTAGTGGGAAACACTTTTTTCATACATGATATTAGCCCTGACAGACAATTGTCGAACTCCTTTTTTCTGCATAAGGAAAAACAAAGCAAATTAACTACAAAAAATTAATACTTTTTTTTGAAATCCTGTTAGAAAAAACACAAAACTATGTTTTTAAAATCTACAGTGCGCAAAATAAAAAAGAAACCACCCTAAATAACTTTTGATCTAATGATCGGATCTTCACGTTCTCAATCTTTATGGTTCAAACGGGGTGACCTCAAATATACTAAATAATTAGTGCAGATGATATTTCAAGTTACTAAATTAGACACAAAATCGTGCTTTCTCTTAATAAACATCCCTTTTTTTCAACAGATTCGGATTTTTGAGTCCCAAAATATAGGCGGTGGCAGCAATCTGTGAAATATGGTCCTAACAGTTTGGTAAAGGTCTGGTTTCTTAGGACAAGCGCCTTATCTGGGCGTCAGCGGGACGTCAACGTCCCGTTGACGCCAACAAAATACTGGTTTGTTAGCTCAAGGCCTGGTTTCTTAGAACTAGCTCCTTATTTGGGCGTCAGCGGAAAGTTGACGTAGAGCTGACGCCATAAAAATACTTTTTTGTTAGCTCAGCGTGAGCAGTCGGCCCAACGCAGACATTATCTCTCATTGCGCATGCGTTAATAACGTAAACAAATATTTATTTTGAATTTGTATTGATTTTGTTATTGTCGACCAGTGTTTTAGAGAACAAATAATGACTTTGTCCAAGAAAAAACACATTACAGCTGAGCTAAATGAAGAGTGCTATGTTTAATGAAGAAGCTATGTTTAATGTCAAAATCAAAATCTTGGCTGATTTCAATGCGCTGTTGGATGTTGTCCGCCATTGCTTCTGTGGTTAACGTCACGTTGTAATCCACCTGCAGTTGAGTTGGACGGCAATTGTAGTTCAAGATGATTGTTCGATGACGTATACTATCAAACTCACAAATGGACCAATCAGAGGTTAGCGCTGATTTCCAGCTGACGGCGTCCTGTCCTCAGAAACCAAGCCTTTAGGAGCCCTTAATGCTAATTTTACTTCTTGCGTATTTCACCATATCTCAAGAACTTTCTTATTGAATTGAAAAATTTCAGATTTAAGCGCTCTTGACATTTTTTTGTGCTTAACAAACTTTTGACAATATAGTAAAATCCAACACATTATTTTTTGAAACAAGTGGAAAATGAAAGAGTTACTTTATTACATTAGAGCAGATAGAGCTTGATAATGTTTAGAACTTCTATGGAGTTTTCCTCAAAACTTTAAAGCAATAAGAATATGAGATTTGTGGTTTTGAATCAGTAATTTAAAACTAAACATTTCTCAGGTTTTAGATCTCTTAACAATTTTATTTCATTGCAGCTTCAGCTGATGAAGACTGATTTTGATTAATTTAACTGATTTTGATATCAAAAATCTCAAAGCAGACAAATGTATACTATTTTGTTTTATAACTGTTGTTGTACAGCCAACCCAATTTTGAGCTTACGACTACCAATGTTCAACTCCGCAGACTCGTAATTTTGAATCCAATGCAAAAGACAAGGTGACTCTTACATCAAGTATTGGGAGAAATTTGCTTAGTGGAGTGCTTTTTTGATGGTACTTAACCGTATTTGCGTTACATGGAAAAGAAAACCACGAAAACCTCCCACGGTTAGATTTACAGCAAGGGAACTCTAACCCACTAGCTGTCTATCACTGAGGATATTTTACGTCAGCTCCGAGGCGAGCTGGAATTCGTATCGGTCGACCATCGCTGGGATTTGAACCCGGGGAACCTTAGTGGGAGGCAAGCACTCTATCCCCTGGGTCACCACGGCTAAATGTACTTTATTGAACTGCCTTTCACAAACTGCTGGTTGCAGAACTGCATTGGTAAAATATTATCAGAAAAATTAAAAGATAATATGAAGTATATCGCCCTTTAAATTGTGATCTAGTGGCAGCTTTGTAGTAAAAAAAACCATTATCAGTTTATTTGTGAAAATGAAACAAAGCGATTTAAAAGTATGTTTGGAATTTTCCCCTCTCCATCTTACGATTCTTCGACAGTTGAGTTTAATCGAGAGGAGAGAGGCCTCTTAAAATTATTAGTGGACTGTTTGTGGTGTTAAAATACATTCTCCTAATTAACGCACAGTCTGTTAAAAGCGATGAACTAGATCATTTATTTGAAAACGATAAGTTAAAAGCGATGAACTAGATCATTTATTTGAAAACGACAATAAATTAAGATGCGATGGGTGATCTAGTTACGACACTGATGTTTATCTGTTTAGTTCTTTGGCATGATGTTCTTTTTTGTTAACACTGTTATGTTCAAAATAGTTAAAAGTTGATAAGTTTTTAACGTTGGTATTGGCATCTTTTTTTTCAAAAAATAGAGTTGTGTTTTAATCAGTTCGAGTTCGTGTTTTAACACAGTCTAAGTCAGCGGCTCCCAATTTTTTTTTTCCATTGCAGAACTCTAAATGATTGCCCCCAAGGCTTAATGAATTTATTTTACTGGAAATTGTGAACTTCATAGATTAACGAAAGACAACTAATTATTTTAATAATATGTGATGATCTAAATTTCATTAATTGTTTTGAAAATATTTAGAGATTGAATGAAATTTTATCAATGTTAGTTCAAGTCAGACAGTTTAATTCGCAGGTTTGGAGCGGGGAAATATAGTCTTGCTCTTAATTTGAATTCAGTGCATGCATAAACTAAAAAAAAATTAATGAACTTAAACCATTAGAACGAATTCCATTAGAACGAAAAGAAATAGGTTGCTCGAACCTGAGCTAGGGAGTTTAGATGCGACCTTATTTTTTGTCAGAATTATGATTTTTAATGCGATTAGTAGCTTTGATTATTATTTTTTAATCCATTTATTCTTTCTGAATCTCTTTCTCTATCAAAATCAAAAGTAAATGAATTTATAAGTGCAAATTTATTAAAAATAATAATTAAAAAAAAAGACTTATAAATTGTAGAAATGGAAACTGGCAGTTTAGAGCATTAATCCAGAGCAAACAGGTTATGATTTAAATAATTTGGAGAAAAATGTAAAACCAATGCTTACGTTTCCAAGTCGACAGATTGCGATCCAACCCACAGGAGTAGAGGTGCAGATTTCATGATATCAGCAAGACATCTTTGCATTTTTATTACAGTGCAAGCAGAAATACTTTTTGTCCCTGCATTCATCTTTTCATTAAACACAGCATCTGCAATACTATATCCCTGCTTGGCTTTACACATTCCTCAAATTAAAAAAATAAATAAACACATGAATCTATTTGATTGAATTAAATAGATTATTTGTATAAAAATTTATTTTTATAAATGCTCAATAATAGTGCAGTCAGTAAATAAATTTAAACCCATCATCCAAATCCAGGTCATCCAAATACTAAAAAAATTTTTTAAAAAAATGACTCATCAGAAAATTTTTATGTACCTTCCTCACAGTAAATGGTAAAAAAGGTAGCTATAACCCTAAGCAAACGTAACTCTTGCGTTTGGTTTTAGCGAAAGGAAACATGGTTGCAAAACAATTACTATTATTTTATTAAGATTAATTTTTCCATTAACCTTTTGACGCAGATGGGACACCGGTTTCCTTTATATAAGTATACATATATTGAAGCTTTAATTACAAAAACATATGTTAACGTTTTTTAATTATAAGAAACAGTTTAATAATTACTTAAAAAATCTTTTAGATTATCAGAATAACATTTGTAATAAAATTTTAAAAAAAGCAGTTGGAAATTTTTTTTCTATTCATATTCAAAAATTTATCAATAAATGATTTTATAAATTAAAGAAATTCCAATGATAAATAACTATTTCTCTTTTAGATCTAAAGAACTGTAAATTTGGATAAATTACAGTGTGAAAATAAATCGTGTATAACTGCTTTGTGTTTGCAACAGCACCTTTGTACACTTTTCAAGCACTCAAAAAATATTTTTAAGCACTTTAAAAAATATATAATTAGGTAGGGTTGGAAATTCTTTGACAATTGACAGTTTTATCTTGTTTTAATCGTCATGTCGAAAAAAAAAAAACTTATGGCATTGTTTTTGACAATTGACAAAAATCATGAAATTCTGAATTATGAAGTGGCGTTTACATACGTTACAAACTGACAATACGCCGAAATCGATTGGGGTTGAATTAATTGAGAAAAAGTTGAATAGAACAATGTGAATTCTTCTTTTTGCATAATTCGCAGCGAAAACAAACATGGTAAATGAAAAATACCATTTTGAAAAAGGGAAAATTAAGCACTTTTTAAAATTACCCAATGAAAAAAGCACCTTTAAGGGCTTTCAAAAAACAAAAATCAAAAATAAGCACCTTTAAGCACTTTTTAAAAACGTTACGCACCCTGTACAAGTATACAGGGCAGAACAGATTTTTTTCGGTCATCCCATTTTATTCAGTTTTTTTAAAGATTTATTTGCACAACATTCTACAAAAAGCATTTTCTACATTTATTTGAAAATTTCGAAAATACTAAAAACATTTTTAGTACAATTTTCTACGACTGATTTATGATTTATTTGTGACTCGATAAACCGAAGTTTACTCAATTTACATCCATTATGTATTTTTTTTAATTAAGCTTTTTCTTTCAAGAAATAAATTTTTGTTTTTTAAGTAAAATATCGTCCTTTTTCATTTAGAGTTTCGGTAAATTTTTGAATTATATCGGACGTTAAGTGTTATGAATATTTGAAAATTTTTGATCGTTTCTCTATTTATTGACATTACAGTTATTATTTATTTTGTTAAGTTGCCGTAAGTAATAATTTAATTAGAATTAAAATATTAATATACGTTAAATATTTATTAAAATTCATTTTGTTAGGTTGTCTTCAGAAATAACAAAGTATTATGTTAAATAGCTAGTTATATGTTAAGTTTTTATTTAATATAAATTTGTATTTTTATAGAAATAAAAACTTAGTCATGAAGAAATAATTTACATTTTTACAGGGTTTGTTGATTTAAATCAAATGATTTTCTTTAAAAAAAATCATTGATTTAAATCAAATGATTTTTTTATATATATATATATTGATTTTAAAAGTTAAAAAACAGTGTTTTAAATTATTAATACTTTTATTATTTTCTTTTCTTAGTTTTAAAATTTATTTTAAACAAGTTGCTACATTAATTAATTTTACTTAATGAAATTACTTTCTTGGTGTGTGACAAATTCCAACACAATTGAAATTACATTTTTAAATATCTTTTGATTCTTGAGATTGAAAGTACAGATTAAATTAAAAATTTAATGCTGTCTTAATATAGACTTGTATAGCCGTAGAAAGTAATTAATAAATATGAATTTTTTTAAAAAAATGCCAATAATGTTAATCAAAATTCTAACTTATGATTGAAAAACCATGGAATTAAAATATGCATCATATTTAATTGGTGGAAAATGTATATTTCTAAAGCTTGAAGTTATATTAAAAAGAAATTACCCTAATATGCCAAAAATAGAGAGAAAAAAAAAAGGGCTGATGAATTCAGATATTTTTTTCCTGATATAGTGTCATTCTTCCCTTTCAAAGTCTATTTGAAGCAATAAGGTTATTATCCGGTAACTGGTATTTTTTTCTCATAATATATTTACAGTATCTTTCACATTATCAGATTTTCTATGAAGAAATTGTGAAAAAAAATTCCAATGAGTACATACTTTTTTTTAGCTTAACTTATCTATTTTTATCTTATTATAGAATTAAAAGTGAATATTTTTATATAAAAATATATAGATTAAGTATTTATTTATTTTTTGATGAATGGCTACATTTATAAACACAATCTGTTACATTTATTTTGTAATTTTAAAAATCAAAAGAAAAAAAAAGAAATCATAATTTTAAATTTAAATTATAGTTTGCTAATTGAAACTTTGCTTTAAAGTCAAAGTAC